GGTAAAAATCCGTACACACTCCGTAAGACTCGTCCTCTACATCCGGTAAAAATCCGTAAGCAATCCGTAAGCCTCCTCCCCCAAATCCGGTAAAAATCCGTACACACTCCGTAAGACTCGTCCTCTACATCCGGTAAAAATCCGTAAGCAATCCGTAAGCCTCCTCCCCCAAATCCGGTAAAAATCCGTACACAATCCGTACGACTCGTCCTCTACATCCGGTAAAAAAAATCCGTAAGAAATCCGTAAACGTCCTCCCCCAAATCCGGTAAAAATCCGTAAACCATCCGTAAGCCTCCTCCTTTACATCCGGTCAAAATCCGTAAACAATCCGTAAGCCTCCTCCCCCAAATCCGGTCAAAATCCGTAAACAATCCGTAAGCCTCCTCCCCCAAATCCGGTAAAAATTCGTAAACAATCCGGAAGCCTCATCCCCAAAATCCGGTAAAAATCCGTAAACAATCCGTAAGCCTCCTCCCCCAAATCCACCAGAAATCCGTACAAAATCCGTCAGCCACAAAGCAAAAAAGCCCTTGGAAATCCGTAAGCTGCTCTGGCAAGAATCCGTAAGAAATCCGTAGGCCAACGTCACCACTTCCCTTCGTCACCACCCTGTGTCATGGCTTCTTATTCTCTTGTTATGTCTTGTTATGTGATGTACCGCCCTTCATCAATGTCAAGTTTCACAATTCTATTTGGCCGTAACCCGGAAGTATTGCTTCCTAACTTCCTTCGACTAGATTTCAGTTTCGAACCATGGTTATGCATACCAATGTATAACACGAATTGTACCCCCAAGTATTCACCCAGGGCATCATGGAAGACTCTTGATCTTTTTCAAGTTGCCATCATCCACTAATAATAAAATAATATACGTATTGGATCGTATTGGGGCGAGGAGGCTTACGGATTGTTTACGGAGTTTTACCGGATTTGGGGGAGAAGGCTTACGGATTGCTTGCGGATTTTTACCGGATTTGGGGGAGGAGGCTTACGGATTGTTTTCGGATTTTTGCTGGATTTGGGGGAGGAGGCTTACGGATTGTTTACGGATTTTGACCGGATGTAAAGGAGGAGGCTTACGGATGGTTTACGGATTTTTACCGGATTGGGGGGAGGAGGCTTACGGATTGCTTACGGATTTTGACCGGATGTAAAGGAGGAGGCTTACGGATGGTTTACGGATTTTTACCGGATTGGGGGGAGGAGGCTTACGGATTGTTTACGGATTTTTACCGGATGTAGAGGACGAGGCTTACGGATTGTTTACGGATTTGTACCGGATTTGGGGGAGGAGGCTTGCGGATTGTTTATAGATTTGGACCGGATTTGGGGGAGAAGGCTTCCGGATTGTGCTTTCTGGCTGACGGATTTTGTACGGATTTCTGCCGGTCAGCTTACTACTCCTGGGGTTGAAAAGAGTTTTGGTCGGCGCAGGTGAAGAAAATCATCCACCGGAAGAAGATGTGAAAAAAAGGCGGTTCTAACAAGTAAGCATTCAGTATGCTACCAAAGCTTGAGCAGTGCCATATAATACATTTAGGGTATGGTAAACCAAAAAAAACCAAACAACACAAACACAAACTACTATGAGAATATATAATTACAAATATATATATATATATATCATACTATATATGTATATTTACCCGTTTATAAAAAAAATCACCAAAACCACATCACGTGAAAACACCGCTGACTACCGCAGACGAGTCTGAAGTTGCGCATTGTTTTCCATTGCCAGTTGTGATGGATCTGTTTGCCATCAGTGATTGAATCCTGCTTGATGGTTACGTTTCACCCATCCATTAGCCAGCTGACCATTTTGGTCAAGTAGAAACCAACCCTAGGGGTTGAGAAAAGCCGAACGAACGCTTGTCTGAGAAACAGAGTGGTCGCAAAATCGAAAAATACAAACAGAAGCAGAAGCAATGTATGGATATAAATGTTGAATGCGAAAAGAAAAGGTTCATTGTCATTCTCAGGACATCAGCATGGAGTGAAAACAGCAAAAACATGCTGTAAACTCCCGGACTGAGTGCTCCAATGTAATGAAGCATTTCATTGATTAAAACACAATGAAACCAGTTCATTAAGAGTGTGATTGCTGGCAACGCAGACAGTCGATGGTGTGTTTGCCGGTCGTGGTTAAATCTTTGGTCCTTGTCGTGGTTCGCAGCCGGGTTTTGTCGTGGTTTGGAAACCTAGTTTTAGTCGTGGTGAAAACGTACTCTCTTTGTTTATCTATTAATTTGTCTTTCTGTTCATCTGTCTGTCTAGACTACCTATCTATCTATCTATCGATCTATCTATCTATCTATCTGTCTATCTATCTGCAAGTTTGAAAACGAAGCTATTCTGCGAGACTTCCTCAATTTTTGAACTTGTCAACATAAAAACGCAGCAATTCTGCGAGACTTCCTCAACTTTTGAACTTGACAACGCCAAAAATGCAGCAATGCTGCGAGACTTCCTCAACTTTTGAACTTGACAACGTTAAAAACGAAGCTATTCTGCTAGACCTCCTCAATTTTCGAAGTTGACCGCATAAAAAACGAAGCAATTCTGCGAGACTTCCTCAATTTTCGAAGTTGTTGTACAACATCAAAAACGAAACAATTTTGTGAGACCTCCTTCAAAAATGGAAAGTTGAGTGCAGAGCTGACAGCCTCGTACCAATGCGTTTTGCCATTTTTCCACTCCACCTGTCTAGAGTACTGCTGCCACGTGATGCCAGGTCATGCGAAGTGCTGCACCTTGCACCTGTCACGCAAAATCATCTTAGCAAACCTACAGATCTGATGCTCCAAAATGCAACCGCGCCCGGACCTCCTAACAGCTCTGATGAACATGTCTCTTGTACTGCGCCTGCCACGGAAAATGCATCTCTGCAGATCCTCTTCAAATGTCCCACGCCTGCCATCGTTTTTGGACATGCCACAAAACCCTCATGTTTTGCTCACTTTTGACAAGGTGCACAATCCCTTGTGCCTGCCACGCAAAACGACGCTTCAACGCCCAAAAGTGGCGCGTACATGTGGTGTTATGTAAATTTTAACTTGGAAAGCCACAACGACGTGCACTTTTTCGACGTCGCAGCTTCGAAAAGTGCTCCGAAGTTGGTGTGTTTTGTACATTTTGACTTGGAAATGTGCTTGGCGCCACAACGGCGTGCAATTTTTCATCTCTCATCTGGCCAGCTGGCTCTGCACCCGCCGCTTTAGCGAGCCGACTTTTCGACCCTCCCGAGCCACAAATCATTGGAGAAAACACAATGTTTCGCGACTTTCCTACCTTTTCGCGCGCCTAGATCTTCTTTCTTCTGAGACTTTCTCTTTTTTGATCTTCTTTCTTCTTTCTTCTTTCTTCTCTCTTCTCTCTTCTCCCTTCTCTCGTCTCTCGTCTCTCGTCTCTCATCTCGTCTCGTCTCGTCTCGTCTCGTCTCGTCTCTTCTCTTCTCTTCTCTTCTCTTCTCTTCTCTTTTTCCTCTGACTCTTCCCATCTCTGCTTTTCATCTGTCCATATTATCGGAAGTTGGACTTCTAAACTTCCTTCGAACATCTATATATAGATATATATATATATATATATTACGAAAGCCAGCTAGCTGGCTAGTTGCCGTTTGCGAACGAAGTGAGAATAGGGGGTGTGGGGGGGAGTGGTTGCCGAAAGGGAACAAAATCTCGCCGTAAGGCTGTGAGGAGCGCCAGAAAACGGAGCATTTTGCTGGACTATGTACCACTAGGCAATTTGCTGACGGTGGGGTATCGATTCCCCCTAGGTCCGCCTTTTTGGTGGCCGGAGAGACCATGAGGATGTATTGGAAAATACAATGAAACATGCGATAACACCCAGAGGAAATGGTGCAAAAACGATTGGAAACTGAAGGAGACGGGTAAAACTCTGGGCAAAATATATTGAAAATGTGTGAAATGCAGGAAACGAGAGGAAATGGTACAAAAAGCCATAGAGGAAAGCGGTGAAAATGGTGGGAAGCATGTAATAAAAAAAGCTGGGCAAAACGCCCTGAAAACCTGGAAAAGAGAAGAAAGTAACCGCAGGAAACGGTAGAAAAAACCGTGGAAACTGGCAGCAAAGTTGTGACAATATTAGGAAAACGGTGTACAAGCTAGGAAATGCTTGTAACAACTAGAGGAAACGATGTAGAAAATAGTACAACATGAAGGACACACGTGAACATGCTAGGAGGCATGTAGCATGTTAGAAAAATACAGTGAAAACCAAGAAAAATGTTATAACTAAAAATGCTTAAAAAAATATAGTGAAAACCAAAACACTGTTAACGAGCGGAAACGATGAAAAAACCAGTGGCGCGCAGGAAAATCTCCGTTTGACTGGTGAATGGGACGTCTTTCGAAGGTGTGAAAGAACTGCTAGATGATCTGTTTCGAAAACTGTTGTTCTGGGTATGCTGGTCTGATAGATAGGATAAGCTATAGAGTGTGGTTGGTGAGCTCCGAGATGCGTGTGGTTCAAGCAACATCTGCTGGTTCGTGATCGATGCGTGGGCTCTGAGAGCAAGGAGTTCGGTAGGGTGCTCAAGCCTCAGAACTGGAATGGCATTGGGTACAGGGTTTAATACCAAAGGATTATCTCAAGCAAAAAGTTGAGCAGATTCCGTCAACTGATCCTGTGTAGGGGAATTTGTTTTCAGTCACCGCAGACTTTGCAAAACAAACAATAGTTGGCTTGATGGATAGGTTATGCGTGGATGTACGAAATACAGTCGTGGTCGACTGTGGCTGTGGCATCCTCAGCAATTGATGGGATGCGCATTAAATCTATCTAACTGTGGTTGTTTTTGCTGTTCAGCTGTCAGTGTTGAATAACTGTCCAAACGTGCGTGCCGCTGCTGTGATGATGGAGTTTACAAATGCAGTGAAAACAAGTAGTTGAAACCGGTGAAGAAAATACAATGAGAAGGCAGGAAACTACAGGAAAGTGCTACAGAAAGCAGAAGACGTGTAGCAGAAATTGCCATGGTCCGTGCTTCCACGCCGCCGCCGCTGACAGTGTTTGCTTCCGCAGACCTGCCGTGCCCTGTTTGCAGAGACGCGGTTGTGACGCGGTTCGCGTTTTGTAATTGTTTCGAAATATGCTTTGCGTCTTCGGTTGAGGCCAAGGGCTGCAGGGGCTAGAAGTCTCGGGGCGAGGACAAAGGCGGTGTTCCCGCCGCGTTCGTTACTTGGTGATTCTGTCTAGGAGAAGTAGTGTGGTTATTTGGGGGTGTTGCGCTGGCATGTGGTATCAGGAATCGGTCAGGAAGGCCTTATGAAGAGGCGATGTTTCTAGTAGGTGTTTGTAACAAGACGAGGTCAGTGAAAAGAGCGGCACCTCCAATTGGACTTCCGTGCTTTGTCTGCAAGTGTGTTTTTCGGCTGCTTGTTATTCATGACTGGGGAGTTATTCATGGCAACTGAGGCAACAAAGTTTTTGCTCTTGTTTGTTTTGGTTCCGGCCACCAGCGAAAAGAACTGCAACTCCAATTGGACTTGCGTGTTGTGTCTGCAAGTGTGTTGTTTTGGCACGTTGTTAGTCATGGTGGCTGGAGAAAAACGGTTTTTGATGTTTTTTGTTGTGGTTCAGGCCACCTGTTCGTCCAAAGAACCCTGCGCTACCAATTGGATTGGCGCGCTGCGGCTGCAAGGGGGCGTGCTCCATATCTTCTAATGTTTTGGCTGTGGCAACTTTTGTATCATTGCTAAGGCCGCCACCGCTTGCGAAGAAAGCTCGACCGCTTCCGTGCTGTGTCCGCAAGTAAGGTTGTTTCACGTTGTTGCAAGCAGTTTTGGTTACAGTTGGTCAAGCCAATTGCTTATGGCTTACAATGTTTTGGCTTTAGCAACTCTTCTATCAGAGCTAAGGCCGCCATCTCTTCCAAAGAAAGCTCGGCCATTTCTGTGCTGTGTCCGCAAGGAAGGTTGTTTCACGTTGTTACAGGTAATTTTGGTTGTGGCCGGTCAAGGCAACCCGCTCTTCGGCCAAAGAAAGCTCGACCGCTTCCGTGCTGTGTCCGCAAGGAAGGTTGTTTCACGTTGTTGCAAGTAGTTTTGGTTACAGCTGGATGTTTTGGCTTTAGCAACTCTTCTATCAGAGCTAAGGCCGCCATCTCTTCCAAAGAAAGCTCGGCCACTTCTGTGCTGTGTCCGCAAGGAAGGTTGTTTCACGTTGTTACAGGTGGTTTTGGTTGTGGGCGGTCAAGGCAACCCGCTCTTCGGCAGAGAGCGTCAGCAGCACCGCATGCAGCAGGAGCAGATGTAGAGGCAACGATTGTTGTCCAATTTTTAGACCTGCAATCCAGACAGGTAAGGTCGTGAATCCTCATGTCTATGGCACGAACCGCTACAGAGAGCAGAGTATGCCATAGAATAGTGGAGTATTCGTTTGGATTTGAATTTTTGCTGGAGCTTGTTCCTTGTTGAGTACCTATCTTCTTTCCAGGCAACAGCAGGAACAGTTCCAAAGGCGCAAGTGATACTTTGAGTTCTCCGTGCGGTGTCGCGGTGTTGGAAGTCACAAGTAGCCTTGTTGCAATGTGACAGGCTGCAGCAGTGTTGTACTCTTGGGGACCAAACCAGTTGTTGCCAATTGGTCTTAGCTTTGTGGAATGGCTCTTGAGTAGCTTCGTGGCACATTTTTGGTGCAGCCTGTCTTCCTTGCAGGCAAAGGCTACTCCTTCAGAAGCTGCAGCAGGCATGGTTGTGGAGGCAATCAACTGACTCGTCGTGCGCTCGCAAGAGTAGCAATTCGCAGATCTGGAGCTCCCTTCGCCTCAAGCGTCAGCAGCACCGCATGCAGCAGGAGCAGATGTGGAGGCAACGATTTGTGTCCAATTTTTAGACCTGCAATCCAGACTGGTAAGGTCGTGAATCCTCATGTCTATGGCACGAACCGCTACAGAGAGCAGAGTATGCCATAGAATAGTGGAGTATCCGTTTGGATTTGAATTTTTGCTGGAGCTTGTTCCTTGTTGAGTACCTATCTTCTTTCCAGGCAACAGCAGGAACAGTTGCAAAGGCGCAAGTGATACTTTGAGTTCTCCGTGCGGTGTCGCGGTGTTGGAAGTCACAAGTAGCCTTGTTGCAATGTGACAGGCTGCAGCAGTGTTGTACTCTTGGGGACCAAACCAGTTGTTGCCAATTGGTCTTAGCTTTGTGGAATGGCTCTTGAGTAGCTTCGTGGCACATTTTTGGTGCAGCCTGTCTTCCTTGCAGGCAAAGGCTACTCCTTCAGAAGCTGCAGCAGGCATGGTTGTGGAGGCAATCAACTGACTCGTCGTGCGCTCGCAAGAGTAGCAATTCGCAGATCTGGAGCTCCCTTCGCCTCAAGCAAGTCTATCTGTGTCCAAGCCTGCAGCCTTCAGGCCAGCCCATCTGTGTCCAAGTCAGCCACAGAAACAGTGATGGAGGCGGAGGTGCGTGCACAGATTTTGACTGGAGGTCGAGGAGACCAACCCAGAAAGTCCGGTTGTTGCCAAGGGCACCGAGAGCAGCTCTGTGAGTGGCAATCCCGCAGTGCCCACAAGTGTGAAGGTGGGGGTTGGCGAATGACTCAGGGTTTGGTTGTTGAAAACGAGAGAGAATATTTTGTTGGCAGGCAGAAACTATGCTACCTGCTTTGGACGTGGTCATGTCGTTGCAGGTGCCACATGTACTGATTTGAATTATGATATAAGATATCTTTTCGATACTTGAGTTTGAGGCCGCTTTGCCACACTTATCCAGAGCAGCTGCTGCGGATGTGAAGGCTTGTGTGGATAGAGTGACAATTACTGTTGTCAGGGGGGGTGTTTATATGAGGCAGCACTACAAGCCCTTGGCACCCCTTTGACGCTAGAGGCAGGCCATGAAAACGGGTATCCGAAGAAATTTTGCAAGCAGGTGTTGTGTCGCGAAGCGTCCGCATGGCTGTGAGGGGCTTGCTTGGGCTTGTTTCTTGTTCAGGCAGGCTTATCTTCTTCGAAGGTGTCAGCAGAAGCAGTGGTGGAGGTAGGCGCACGGATAAATTTTGCGTTTCCGGCGCGGTTGTTTTCTAGCAGCTCACTCGTTCAGGCCAGCTCATCTTGTGCGACGACTTCAAAGGTTCCAGCAGGAACAGCTATAGAGGCGATCAGCCTACTGTGAGGGGCTTGCTTGGGCTTGTTTCTTGTTCAGGCAAGCTCATCTTCTTCGAAGGTGTTAGCAGAAGCAGTGGTAGAGGTAGGCGCACGGATAAATTTTGCGTTTCCGGCGCGGTTGTTTTCTAGCAGCTCACTCGTTCAGGCCAACTCATCTTGTGCGACGACTTCAAAGGTTCCAGCAGGAACAGCTATGGAGGCGATTAGCCTAGCCCCGGTCGTTCCTAGTCGTTCACAGACCTAGGACCCCCCCCCTCCCCCCCCGGGTCTGGGAAGCAGCTATTTTTCCATTTACATATCTTTTTTTTCCCCTGCTTGATACTAGCTTCTCCGATTGTCTATTCTGATGGCACATGCAGGGACAGTCACAGTTTTTTGGTCAGGTTAGCCCATCAAGTGTCAAGTCTGCAGCAGGGGCGGTTGTGGAGGCACTGGTGAGAGAACGAGAATGCTATAGCATTGTGAAGTGTCGGGTTGGATTTGAATGTTTGCTGGAGCTTGTGCCTTCTTTAGACAAGCCCATCTTCTTTCCAGGCAACAGGAGGAACAGCTACGAAGGCACAAAGTTTGAAGTTACACGTGGCATTGTTGTTGTAGTATTGCAACATGACAGGCAGCAGCACTGTTGTATTGTTGGAGATCAAACCAGTAGTTGCTCATAGATCTGGAGCCCTTGCTCCCTCAGGCAAGTTCATCTGTGTCGAAGCTTGCAGCAGAAACGGTGGTAGAGGCAAGACCATTAGACAGACTATTGTTTGGGTTCGTTGTACTACTTGGTCATCTTGACACACGTGCATTTACCCATTAATCCCATTAATAGCATGGTGGATCTTTCCAGTTCGTGATGTTAGTCATTACCAGAGGGTATTTTCTGGGTTTTCAGCTTTCTATTTTTCCATGGGAACATCCGCTATTTCTATGGTCATTTTCAATAGCGAACTGGTGCATTACCAGAGGGAATATTATACCATTGATATAGCCAGAGGGATAAAATGGCCCACATGACCAGAGGGATAAAATGGTGATTTTCCATAGTCATGTTATGATACCATTAACATATATTGGTATGGATCAATACCTATTAATACCATTTTTAGGGGAATGAACATCCATAAATCCCAGCTATTTTGATGTGAACTACAGGGGTACAAGGTTTTGACACACTGCCATATATATCTATCCCATGGATTCATCTTGTCGTCTCTCCCCCCAGGTGGTGACTTTGGAGCTGCGTTCCCTGGAGCAACGGTTAAACTACGGCAGCGTTTCGGCTGGCGCCATGGATGAGGCCAAGGAGGCCATGGCCAAGGCAACGCAACGGGGAAAACACTGGGAGTTTGGAGGGAAAAAGGTGGAAACACCTGGGGAAACCGTGGAGAAAAATGGGAAAATTGGACTTGGAAAAGGTTGGGATGGTTTTGAACGAAAGGTGGGAGTTTGGTTGGAGAAATAGGGAATTCCAGCTGGGAAAAACGTTAGATTTTAGATGTTCAGCCAATAAATTCAATCAAAATGCGTGATTCAACTTTGGCAGAGGTGAAGCTTAACCGGCTCAAGTGAACATCTCTAATATGAAAACTGGGGCACATATGATGCTAAATTCTCACAAAACATCCTTTATCAGCTGCTATTATCATTAGTAACTTCATCCCAGTCAACATTACCATATTATATTACCAGATTCCCAGATTCTATGAATATTCCTATCCCACTATATTCTCCTCTGAAATTTTCCCGATTCTATATATACATGAATATTCCATAATATTCCTATCCCCCTATATTACCCTCTGGTAAACTAACATAACTATGGAAAATCACCATTTTCAATGGGTAAATCCACTATAAATCACCATTTTTGATCACTGCGTCCGCATGAAATCCCTCGCCCAATTTTCGACCGTAAAACCTCCGCTGATTCTCCGTGAGGAGCTGGCGGAGCAACAGGTGCAACTGGAGCAGCGCCGGGAGGAGGTGGTGAAGTTGGAGGAATCTCTGGAAGTCGCGCAGGTGGGCAGCAAGATTGGGGAAGACTCCTGAGATTTCGATCTAAAACATTTGTTGAGGGTAAGGGCCTCGCTTCGGAACGCGTCTTCAGGCATCGCTTCGGAACGCGCTCTCATGCATCGCTTTTGAACGCACCTCCTCACCACCATCATCATCATCATCATCATTATCATCATCGTCATCGTCATCATCATCATCATCATCATCATCATCATCATCGTTTTCGTCATCATCATCATCATCATCATTATCATTATCATCATCATCGTGGCTCTTTTTACATCAACTACAACAAGATATAAACCCTAAAGGTGTCGTGGCTCTCCTTACATCAAGTACAACGAGATATAAAGCCTAAAGGTGTCGTGGCTCTTCTTACATTAAGTGCAACAAGATATAAACCCTAAAGGTGTCGTGGCACTCCTTACATCAAGTATACAACAAGATATACACCCTAAAGTTGTCGTGGTAGTCCTTAGATACAGTGCAACAACATAAAACCCTAAAGGTGTCGTGCCTCTTCTTACATCAAGTACAACAAGATATAAGCCCTAAAGGTGCCGTGGCTCTTCTAACATCAAGTGCAACAAGATATAAACCCTAAAGGTGTCATGGCTCTTCTTACATCAAGTGCAACAAGATAGAAACCCTAAAGGTGCTGTGGCTCTTCTTACATCAAGTGCAACAAGATATAAACCCTAAAGGCGTCGTGGCTCTCCTTACATCAAGTGCAACAAGATATAAATCCTAAAGGTGTCGTGGCTCTTTTTACATCAAGTGCAACAAGATATAAACACTAAAGGCGTCGTGGCTCTTCTTACATGAAGTGCAACAAGATATAAACCCTAAAGGTGTCGTGGCTCTATATCAAGTGCAACAAAATATAAACCCTAAAGGTGTCGTGGCTCTCCTTAAATTAAGTGCAAGAAGGTATAAACCCTAAAGGTGTCGTGGCTCTTCTTACATAAGTGCAACAAGATACAAACCCTAAAGGTGTCATGGCTCTTCTTACATCAAGTGCAACAAGATATTAACCCTAAAGGTGTCGTGACACTTCTTACATCAAGTTCAACAACATAGAAACCCTAAAGGTGTTGTGCCTCTTCTTACATCAAGTGCAACAAGGTATAAACCCTAAAGGTGCCGTGGCTCTTCTTACATCAAGTGCAACAAGATATAAACCCTAAAGGTATCATGGCTCTTCTGACATCAAGTGCAACAAGATATAAACCCTAAAGGTGCCGTGGCTCTTCTTACATCAAGTGCAACAAGATACAAACCCTAAAGGTGTCGTGGCTCTGCTTACATCAAGTTCAACAACATATAAACCCTAAAGATGTCTAAAGGTGTCATGGCTCTTCTTACATCAAGTGCAACAAGATATTAACCCTAAAGGTGTCGTGACACTTCTTACATCAAGTTCAACAACATATAAACCCTAAAGGTGTCGTGCCTCTTCTGACATCAAGTGCAACAAAATATAAACCCTAAAGGTGCCGTGGCTCTTCTTACATCAAGTGCAACAAGATATAAACCCTAAAGGTGTCATGGCTCTTCTGACATCAAGTTCAACAAGATATAAACCCTAAAGGTGCCGTGGCTCTTCTTACATCAAGTGCAACAAGATACAAACCCTAAAGGTATCGTGGCTCTTCTTACATCAAGTTCAACAACATATAAACCCTAAAGATGTCGTGGCAGTCCTTACATCAAGTGCAACAACATGTAAACCCTAAAGGTGTCGTGGCAGTCCTGACATCAAGTGCAACAACATATAAATCCTAAAGGTCTCGTTGCTCTTCTTACATCAAGTACAACAAGGCTTCTTACATCAAGTACAACAAGGCTTTTATTTCATATCTTCACCTTCATTTTCTGTGGCAGGCGTGGGACCTTTTTACATCGACCTTCATTTTGTGTGGCAGGTGTGGCACTTTTGTACATCGACTGTCCTTTTACGTGGCAGGCGTGGGACTTTATGACATGGTTGAAACGAGTCAAATTCTCATAGGAGGATGTTTTTTGTGTTGGTGTCGCTTTGGAACGCGTTTTTCTTCCAAAGTCTCGCGCCTGTCAGTAAATCTGATGTGTGTGTGTATGTCGGGGTTTCCATGAGTTGTGTTATTTTGTGTTCTGAAGTGATCCAAAATGGCTGTGTTCTGAAGTGATGCCTGAGAGTGTGTTCTGAAGTAATCCTTTTACCTTTGTGGAAGAGTTGTTGCTAAGAAAACATGGAGAGTTGAGATGACTAAAAAAAAGAACAAATGATATTGTATCCATGAAGAAAGGAGGTTTTCACCAGGAAAAACAAGCAGTTTTCACCAACAACAGTTTATTGGATTTTGATGATTTTGCTTGGTCCTTACATGGAGGAACCCCCAAATGGCTATTTCAGTCAGAGAATGCTCATCGACCAAGAGATCTTGGGTAGCTTATTTTCAGACCAACCCATATTGTTGTTGCAAGCATCGTTTTCGTCTATTCTCGCTGGGATTCACACGTGGTACATCCTTGGTTAAATTAGACGGTGATCACTTTGGGACAATCACCCAGACTCCATCTAGTCCTGGATTTGGGGACCTGCAGCGTGTGCTTATCAATTTAGCATCAAACTTGATGCTTGCTGCATATTGGGGGGTTGCGAGTTCACACGTTCGCTTTTAACGTTCAAGATGTGTTTGAAAAATTGGGATGCGTCAAAACTTGCGGATGGTTCGATACTACAAATGACAAGTTAAGTGGTTGGGTGAGAATCACAATCCAGACTTCTGTCTCCTGTGGGTGAACTGCTCATTTTCTCGGCCTCTTGGCCTTTTTTGGTCCCAGTATTCGGTGAAGAATCACGGCTTGTCCAAGAATCCAGAAATGTTTTCGAAGAATTGTGCCATAAAAAAACTCTCTCGTTGATTGGTTTATTGATTGGTTATTGATGGTTATTTTGATGCTGATTGATGGTTATTGATGGTTATTGATTGGTTAGTTATTGATGGTTATTGCTGGTTATTGATTGGTTATTGATGGTTTTGGTTATTGATGGTTCTTGGTTGATTGTTGCTGGTTATTTGATCGCCCCATCCCCCATTAAAAGCACATTTTTTTCTGTGGATCAAAAACGAGCTGCTGTTAGTGATGGGCTGATGCACTGATCGGCATTCTCACTCAATGACTCGCAGCTGTGCAAAGGAACCCTGCAAAACACCAGTTTAATCCTGATTTGGTGTTTTGAGCTGTATAAAAGGACCCTACTGGCGAGGTATGCCCTAGTGCATTAGTCATTGTTTTTCTTTTTGGATCCTGAGGCCAGGGAAGGGCTTGCAACAGCATGGCAGCTGTATTGCGAGCATTTTGCAGACGGGCAGTGCGATGTAGCGAGTAAAACCGATGATTTCCTCCGGGATTTCTTGACTCGCGCGTTGAGTTGACAGAAGGGAGACTGCTGGAACAGAGCTTGCGAAAAGAAGTGTTTGTTTGATGCGGGCGGACAAGGAACTTTACCATGCTTGCTGTCATTACTTGCCACTGGCCTGACTGTTATTGCATTGCACTGGCCTGACTGTTACAGTAAGTCTACCTCAAACTTTCGGCTGAGTGTTTGGGGTCCGCTCGTTTGCTTGTGTGGCACCATGGGCCGGCGTGCAAACGATACAAAAAAAGGTGCCGAGGAACCCAAGAAGAGATCAAAAAAGACCAAGGCCGGGTTCGATACCCGATCTCTGCTTGGGAGCCAGTTTGTTACGAGGGAAAACAAAAACTTGCTTGTGGGCAGTGAGAGGAGTGTCGCTCGGGGAATATTGCCCACGTTGGGATCATTCGGTCAGTTTGCTGCTCTGAACACTTGGACTGGAGGTCGAGGAGACCAACCCAGAAAGTCCGGTTGTTGCCACGGGCACCGAGAGCAGCTCTGTGAGTGGCAACCTCGCAGTGCCCACAAGTGTGAAGGTGGGGGTTGGCGAATGATTCAGGGTATGGTTGTTGGAAACGAGAGAGAATATTTTGTTGGCAGGCAGAAACTATGCTACCTGCTTTGGACGTGGTCATGTCGTTGCAGGTGCCAAATGTACTGCTTTGAATTGTGATGTCAGATATCTTTTCGATACTTGAGTTTGAGGCCGCTTTGCCACATTTATCCAGCGCAGCTGCTGCGGATGTGAAGGCTCGTGTGGGCAGTGTGACAATTACTGTTGTCAGGGGGGGTGTTTATATGAGGCAGCACTACAAGCCCTTGGCACCCCTTTGACGCTAGAGGCAGGCCATGAAAACGGGTATCTGAAGAAATTGTGCAAGCAGGTGTTGTGTCGTGAAGCGCCCGCATGGCTGTGAGGGGCTTGCTTGGGCTTGTTTCTTGTTCAGGCAGGCTCATCTTCTTCGAAGGTGTCAGCAGAAGCAGTGGTAGAGGTAGGCGCACGGATAAATTTTGCGTTTCCGGCGCGGTTGTTTTCTAGCAACTCACTCGTTCAGGCCAGCTCATCTTGTGCGACGACTTCGAAGGTTCCAGCAGGAACAGCTATGGAGGCGATTGGCTTAGCCCCGGTCGTTCCTAGTCGTTCACAGACCTAGGACCCCCCCCCCTCCCCCCCCGGGTCTGGGAAGCAGCTATTTTTCTATTTACATATCTTTTTTTCCCTTCTTGATACTAGCTTCTCCGATTGTCTATGGTGATGGCAGATACAGGGACAGTCACAGTTTTTTCGTCAGGTTAGCCCATCAAGTGTCAAGTCTGCAGCAGCGGCGGTTGTGGAGGCACTGGTGAGAAAACATTGAGCTTTGAATGTTTGGGGACGTCTATTGCTTGTTGAAACAAGCAGCAGGAACAGTTTAGGCTTTGCCACTTAGTGTCTGTCATGCAGGGAAGCTGTTCTCGATCGGAGCTTTCGGCGGGCATGGTTGTGGGGGCAACCACTAGCTACTATTCAATGTCGCTGTGCTTGCATTTGTAGCAAGTTCCAGATCTGGGCACCCCTCTGTATTTTACGGGACACATGCTAGAAAAGTACGGGACACATGCTAGAAAAGTACAAAGACAAAATTGAGTCCGAGAGGGTAGGGCCAATCAGTGTAAGAACTCTGAAAAATAATACGGAGCAATCATCGCTGCGCAGATCTCTTCTATAGTAAAAGAATTAAGTTGGGGAGAAGTACCAGTAGCTGATCGTACAAAAAATACGGTACTGCCATCAGATCTGGAACCAGCCCCTTCAGGCAAGCCCATCTGTGTGCAAGCCTGCAACAGAAACGGTGATGGAGGCGGAGGCAATTCTACAGACTGTGGTTTGAGTGAATCCACTGCGTAACCCACAGAAGGTGAAGCACCATTGTTAAAACTTGCCAGGCTGCAACATTATCAGTAGCTAGCAGTGTCTCTCCCTCTACAGCTGCCGAGGCTAGTGCGTTGTGTCAGATATACACGCTCGAGACGGAACAGTTTTCCCTGGCCAACGAGTAGAATTTGGTGAAATGATCATCAGTCGAAGAGACAGTGTCCCATAGACGTGGCAAGTATTACCACTGAAAGGTTTTCTGGTTGTAGAGACGGGAAACAAATCCATAAAAGTAGTGAGAAATTTATGTATAGTTGTAGCACTGGTTCAACTTAAGATTCCCTTAGCGAAAGCGAGTTGAGTATACGATTGAGCACGGTTGAGTATCCGATTGAGCACGGTAGTATTATAAATCATACCCTATTCCTAGTCGTTTACAGACCTAGGACCCCCCCCCTCCCCCCCCGGGTCTGGGAAGCAGCTATTTTTCCGTCTACCTATCTTTTTTTTCCTACTAGCCTCTTCGAGTGTCTATGGTGATGGCATATGCAGGGACAGTCACAGTTTTTTGGTCAGGTTAGCTCATCAAGTGTCAAGTCTGCAGCATGGGCGGTTGTGGAGGCACTGGTGAGAGAACGCTCTGATAGGTGCAGTATACATTGAGCTTTGAATGCTTGCGGAAGTCTATTCCTTGTGTAAACAAGCAGCAGGAACAGTTTTTAGTCTTTGCCACTTAGTGCCGTCCTGCAGGGAAGCTCTTCTTGTTCGGAGCTTTCGGCGGGTATGGTCGTGGAGGCAACCACTATCAACCACTCAACTTCGCTGTGCTTGCATTTGTCGCAGATCTGGGTACCTCTGCATTTTACGGGACACATACTAGAAAAGTACAAAGACAAAATTGAGTACGAGAGAGTAGGGCCAATCAGTGTAAGAACTCTGAAAAATAATACGGAGCAATCATCACTGCGCACATCTCTTTCAATAGTAAAAGAATTAAGTTGGAGAGAAGTATCAGTAGCTGATCGTACAAAAAATACGATACTTGAACTGTTTTGCTCGAAACCGTTCAACTTCATATAATTGTGCCATCAGATCTGGAACCAGCCCCTTCAGGCAAGCCCATCTGTGTGCAAGCCTGGAACAGAAACGGTGATGGAGGCGGAGGCAATTCTACAGACTGCAGTTTGAGTGAATACACTGAGTAACCCGCAGAAGGTGAAGCACCATTGTTACAACTTGCCAGGCTGCAACATTATCAGTAGCTAGCAGTGTCTCTCCCTCTGCAGCTGCCGAGGCTAGTGCGTTGTGTCAGATATACACACTCGAGACAGAACAGTTTTCCCTGGCAACGAGTAGAATCTGGTGAAATACTTGCATGGTTTTGAGTGCCCTGTTGAAGTTCTTCGCAGGCAAGCCCGTCACTTCGCAAGTCTGCAGCAGGAATCGCGGTCGAGGCAAGGCAGTTCTTGCCAATTAGCCCTAGTTTCGTGAAGCGCCTCTTAGGTACGAATGCTCTTGATGAAGTCTGTCTCTCTTGCAGGCAAGCTCTGCTCCTGCTGAAGCTGCAGCAGGACTGGTTGTGGAGGCAATCAAGCCGTATGCTTCCAACAGTATTTACTCACAGATCTGGAGCTCCCTTCGCCTCAAGCAAGTCTATCTGTGTCCAAGCCTGCAGCCTTCAGGCAAGCCCATCTGTGTCCAAGCCAGCAGCAGAAACAGTGATGGAGGCGGAGGTGCGTACACAGATTATAGTTTGAGTAAATATCGTGGATAACCCATAGAAGTTGAAGTACCTCTGTTTCAATGCGCCAGACTCTAACATTGTCAGTAGCAAACAGTGCGGAGGCAGCCCTGCCAACAACGGCGCTTCCCGGTGCTTGGGTGATGGGCCAAGAGATAGACAAGTATGTTACCTAGACTGCGTATGCTACAGAAATTGCAGAGACCAGCGTCGCCATTGGTTAGATGCCTTGCTAACCAGTTTATAGTGTGGTGAAACGCTTACCTGCTTTTGAATTCTGCGTTGGTGTTGGTGTTCTTCTCAGGTGAGCCCAACAACACTCGAGTTCGCAAGCGCAGTAAGTCCCGCGTTTGAAGCGCAGTAAGTCCCGCGTTTGCAGCGGGAACAGCTCTGGAGGCAAGCAAGCAGAGAGTATTATAGTCTGATGGAGTGCCCCTTTGGATTTGAGTGTTTGCTGGAGCTTGGCAATTCTCAAGTTTGCAGCAGGAACAGCCGCAGAGGCAACCAAGCAAAGACCACTCTAGGATAATGAAGTGTCTTACCTGGTCGGGAAGTTTGTTCCTTGGTCAGGTAAGCCCGTCCGTTGGTCCGGCGACGACTGGATTGGCCAGCTCTGGTTCTTTGGTTGGGGCAGATAATCCATGGTGTGGCTACGCGCATCCAAACCTTGAGTAGAGAAGCATCGCTTCTAAATAGGCCTATAAGAGGGTAGAGTGTCCATTTGCGGGTCAGGTTCGCCCGTCTTCTTCCCCGGCAACGACCGCGCTTTCCACCTCTCGTGGTTCTTTGGTTCAGGCATGCTATGAGATTCACGGTGCAGCTATGCATGTGCAAACCTTGAATAGAGAAACACATCCATATCTTCGAAATAGACCAGTCTGTCCGACATGACGAAAATTTCGTGCTGCCTGCTGTTTATACAAAGATTAGTGGCACACTTGTGATCCCGCTAGCCAGGCTTTGGCATCTCCAAAGAAGCGAGTTCTGCGGCCGCAGCGAGTTACGCTTGCTGGAGTGATTGGGGCTCCAGGTGGAGCTGTTCTTCATCAGCCTGGACACTTGTGTGCTGTTGTCTATATGCTAACCGAGAATGCGAGCCTGCTCAACGAGCACTTTGATTCATCCCTGGAGGGCATTGCTGTGGGTTTTGAGTACGATGAGAAACGTTTCAAGGAGAATTGGGCCGCCTATCTGACCAGCGAGAACATCACAGATTCTACACTCCTTGAAACCTACCGTGTGATTTGCCGAGTCGGACCGCCGCCGCGGTACATCAAGACACTTCTGGGCTGTGGTGAGGCAGACAACTGCTTAAGTCTGATGGAAAATTTTTTTGCTCCATCGGGCAGCTGCAGGTATGCCCTTGTACAGTGTGATTGTTCACAACAGCAGCAATCAGGACCTGCAGGAATGGCTTGGAGGAAGCAGCCTGCCCGGTCTTGAAGTTCACAGTTGCTCCGTGGTCAACGCTCCCATTCACTTCCTGTCCCTTGGCACAGCGGAGCGCCGACCGGTGCTGATAGTGCGAGGCGTCAACGATGCAGACGTGCAGTTGCTGCTCAGCCACCAGACGTGGATTTTCAGAGGTGGGCCCCCCAACTGGTCCGGGGGTTGGTTTGACAAAAACCGACAGGAAGTGGAGAAAGGTGCCCCGGGGGCGACCTACATTCGCTACACACCGGCCATTCCTGGTATCCAGATGGAGGGTTGGTTGCAGGCCATGGACAAGTATTGCATGGAGTACCAGCTGGAAGGCAAGATTCCGGCCTGCGTTGCCAGTGTATTGGCTGCTACGCCATGGCTGAGTTTGAAAAGGATGTGAAAAGGATTTGAGCAGAGATTGGTATCTTGCAGCCGTGGAGGAGATTGCTGTCAGAAATTCGTGTGTTCTTAAACATGCACTTTTACAAGTGATTACGCTTGCTGACTATATTCCTTCACATTCTCTTAATTCTGTACGCATCAATTCTGTAAGTGGGCAGTTTGCGGTCGTGTTCGAAACCAGCACCAAGGGGAACAACCGAAAATGCATTCACAAATTGTTTACGGTGCTACAGATCAGATCGAACATTGCGGCTACTGTCCAAATTCCAGAGGTATTTGAAAAATGGAACGGAAGTGCCGTGATTCACCGAGTTGTTCAAGTTCTCTATCTGGTCACACAAGTCCAACTTCCTTTCCATATCCATTTGAATCTTGTACCCAGTAGTTCACAAAGGATGTGATGCAAGACGGCAATACAGGTCAAACATAGTCGCCGCTCTGAAAGCCTGGAGTTCTAAACCAAAGGCAGACTTCAATGCTGCCGGCGTCTCTTTTCAATTTGCGGAAGCTGCGCTGCGCTCGCAGAGTTGATGCTGCAATACTAAAACCTTGGGTGGTCATACGATGCAACAAATGGGCATATCGAACAAGTATGGATTCCTCCAGGCAGTCTTCTTCCGCATTACTTTCAATTCTGCAAGTCTTAATTCGGTAAGTGGGGCATGCGGTCGTGTTCGGAAGTAGCACCAACAAACGAAATAACAGAAGATGCTCTTACTAGCTAAGTGTTTTATACATATGGCAAATATTTTGCACTATTTATGTAGTAGCACGGTGCTATAGATCAGATCGAATACTGAGATTGCTGCCACGAGTTCCAGCCATATTTGAGAAATGGAATGCACGTGTCGGTGGCCGACCGAATTGTTCAAAGTCGTCTATCCTGGACCACACAAGCCTAACTTACTTTTGGTGTGGTCCAACTTACTTTCTAACTTACTTATTATACCCATTTGATTCCTGCAGCAGGTACTTTGCAAAAGAAGTATGGCAAGACGGCAATACAGATTCAATATGTTTGTTGCCACAAAGTTGCAACTTTGCAAAAGAAGCATGGCAAGACGGCAATACAGATTGAACATGATTGTTGCCACAAAGTTCCAGAGTTCTATCCGGAATTCAAGTGCTGCTGGCGTCAGCTACCACTTCACAGATGCTGCGCTCACGGTCACTGAGACTGCTCAACAAGTTCCAGAGGCATTTGAAAAATAGACCAGACGTGCTGGTAGCTCACAGAATTTTGTTCAATGCCATCTATTTTAACCAGTGGAACCGCACAAGCCGAGCTACCTTTCTATCTGTTTGATACCTGTGGGTAATTTGCACACAGCACTATAGGTCGACTACGGAAGCTGCCACAAAGGTCCAGAGCCAGATTTTGCTCTCACTTGAAAGAAAACAACCACAGTTGTGCATCCGTAATCCAGTATCGAAATTTCATCGAAGATAATAGCACATACAGCTGCTACCCAGATCTACGTGCAACTTTTGGATTGGGTCTGAATATGTTTCGTGGCATTTTAGATATCTTCAAACTCTTCCTGCTCCGTGTCGTCAGTCTCCAGAGCCTTGAAGTTGTGCCCTTCTTTGGGGCCTTCGTTCCAAGCACATGAAACATGTAAGCAGTAATGCATGTAGCAATGCAGCAATGTTACCTTCACTTATAGATTGCATTCCTATAAGGTGGCGCCCCCTAGATAGCTAAGTTGGTTTATAACTCCAATAACTAGATATATCTATAGCTGGGATTATAAACCAACTTATAACTTGGGGGCACCACCTTGTAAAGTGGCACTGAAATGTCAATTGGTAATTAACACACGCGCCGGTGGCGCAATGGACTACACACGTGTGGCGTCCACCCAGCATGAGCAGATAGCATTACTGATTCAGCTGTGTGTCTACGCAATTCTACGGGACCAAGGGCGCAGTCTTCAAACTGTGGGGTGCCGTCATGCTGCATTGCAATTTCACGACGGCAGACCTCGTCCAGCAAAGACGCTTCACGATGCGATGAATGCCGAGCCTCGGTCGGCAAAGTCATCCTCAGTAATCAGCCACATTCCATTGCGTTTTATAGCTCCCACCACCAAGGGCTTCCAGTTAAGTATGCAGCAGTTCCTTTCGGTTCTACCTTTTCGAAGCAAGAGATAGCCTGCATAGCCACATACCAAGTGAGACAACGGGAAAAAAAACCATATCGGTCCAATTTATCACACCGCGATGAGCGTTCTTTGGCATATTTGGTTTTGGCAGCTTTGACGGACAGTTTGCCCTTCCTGCCACACTCCCGCGCAGAAATACATCTGATGCTAACCTTTCTTCACTTTTTTCAAAGCAACCTCTCACACAGGTACAGTTCGACGTGTGGTCGACTGCCCCAAAGTATGTCGCAGCGAAGAAGCTTTTGGATCAGTGCCACAGCCCAACAGAGGTCCTACAGACATCTTATCTCATGACCTGGTTCGGCTCTGCGATCTTCGCCCAAGAGCTCTTGAGGCGTCCGTTCTGGGAAAATCATTGCCTGAGGGACAGGCTATTCAATTTGAAGTAAATTCTCTTCTGAAAAGTCAGGCAATCCCTGAAGGTTAACCCTTTATAAAAGCTTCCTCTTGTACCAACCTGCTCTAGGGTTCTGATAACATACTCTTCTCTTTTCAGGATCCGGGATGGCGGTGGACCAATCGGATCCTACAAGCAAGAGGTGGCCCGTGTTCTCCGAAATAAAGGTTGCCACTGTGCTGACCTTGTGAGTTCCGGCACCATTTGGCATCGGCTTCAACGAGGTCACCTGCGAAAGCTTGGGAAGCTTGCAGCTCGTACACAGTTACTCCACTATTTCGAGCAGCTCGAACCACAGATGGTACCTCCGAAACTGAAAGATGGCCGAGTGTGGCGCACAAAAAAACAGATATTGAAGCAGCTCAAACAACTCCCGAACTTTTCCACGTACCTGGTGGGGCAATTTTGGTTGCTTTTGCGGTATTCCCACCAATATCCAAGGTATCTTGTTCAGTCCTACAGTGAGTTTGGCCCAGGAACAAAGCGTGGATTATTATGGCTGTCGCTGGGTCAAGCGTCAGAAAACTACCTTTTCAATTTTATATTCTTTTTTGGATATACCTTCCACGAATAGAATACCTTCCACGAATAGAATATCACCCTATGACCCCGCGCGGGTGTAAGCAACAAGCAGTTCACCACTTCTGCTTTCCTCGTACCAAGGGCTGGCTTCCCCACACAGCTCTGCGCTGGCTCTACCTCGACCCCAACCCTTCAGTTTTTTTATCGCTTACTTGCGGAGACATTTCACTGCTTTCGATCTCATCGAGACCTTCAACCTTGTGCTGGAGACACGACAGCCATCCGTGCTGCCAAAGTGCCTCGCCCGCATACATTACAGATCGGTCGGAACACGCCAGCATCTCAGCCGTGCGAGGCGCTTCTTCGCAACGAAGTGAGTGACCATGACAGTTGGGCCTGGCTGCTGTGCGAGTATCAGCGTGTGGTGGCTTGGTTAGCAGCTCTTCACTGAATGCCAGGAGCCTCAGACACTGTCTCATCTTTGACCCACTGCTACATCTGAACTACCTGTTGGTAATCGTAGAAAACGGACGCTCGTGTGTCAGTTCATCGCGTTTGTTTTCGGGCAGCATGAGAGACATTTCGAACTGATTTCTTTCAGACATGTCTACTTCTTTGAAACAAATCCACCAGGACGTGGGGGCACTCCTGGTACAAGAGCATAGCTTTTCTTGGGCTGGCATTACCTGTCCAAGTTCGGCTTTTGACAGGCAGGCGTCTTCAAATTCAGCTGGCCCCAACACATTGACAATTTTAACTTTCGGGGATGGTTCTGTTTGATAGGGCATCAAGCTTCTGTTGGATACGACATCTATGCCTCGTTTTTTTATGTGGCAACATCCTGGTTTTTGATTTGCTAGCATCCAGAGAAGATATCACTATGTCTGAAGAACACGTTTTTGTGATCTATGCCTGCAGGATATCATACCATCCCGGTAGTTTTTTCGGGCCGTCAATTTTGCAAGTTTCAAGTTGGAAGTCTCCATTTTGCAAGTGGGCAGCATGCTAAGAATGGCTTTAGACGCCATCTCGCAGGTGCAGTTGAAGGGCGTTCCAATCAACAACATGAACCGCTCCGTGGGCAGCATCCTCAGTTTTGCGGCCGGGCCCATAGGTCAACAACATCAGCACATATGATGTTTACTTCCAGTATGTCGGTACATCCAAAGATTTTGGAACCCAAATCTGTAGATCTTTGGTGTTTTCTTGTTCTCGTTTTTCTATTTCTCTTCCCCTTACGAAGGCAGCCAAAGTTTGGGGTATACGGGGAAAACCTTTTCAGACCACCACGGATACCGAGATTGCCCTGCAGGTCAGCAAGAAGTTCGGGGCAAAAGGATTGCCAGAGGCCTATTTGAATACGTGCATCTGAACCATTCAGAAAAACGATGGGGGTGTCTGGTCGTTGTTATCTTGTACTGCCACCAGAGCTCTGTTCACTAGAATGCTTGCACAATTCGGACCGCACAATTATTGCCTCATGTGGAACTGCTTGATAAATTGTCATCTAGCCCATCCCGAAGTTGGTTGATACCCCCAAAAAGCTTGTTGAGGTTTGGTGTGCAATATCTCCGTGCTTGTGCATTGCTGTTCCCCTGAAATGGTCTTACGTATGGGATGTGAGTGTGGCACCCTGCAAGTTTCAGGTGTGGAACCCTGACAAGAAGAAGGGCTTCCACGGATATGAATGCAAGGCTATGCCCTACCAACAGCAGCAGGATCGAGTGTTGGACTGGGAGGTAGGCACACCAAACCAAGAAGAGCCCCCATGCTGCATTGGATGACATAAGATGACAACGCAGCAACCCCAGGACTTGGCAAGAGTCCGGATATTTGGTGGATCAACTCAGTTTTTTGAACACATGAAGAACTGCCGCCCGCGTGCCGCCGACCCTAGAAACACAATTTATGGCAAATCTGTGATATACTATAAATATGTAGAGAGATAAATGAACCAGAAAACCATCATATATGTATACACGCACACGCACACACACCTAATCTATACTGAATCGAGTCGCGCACCCGTCAATGGGAATGGCGATGGGAATACGACTTTAGCGGAGATCAAATATGGCTGGGAAAGCGGCCACGAACTATTCCGT